TTCATAGAATGCATCTGTTGGACATATTATAGATTTACTGGTATACTTGTTCATTGGGTCTTCCCCATACCCCATTAGAAGGTAAGCTCCATGAGGGCAGAGACTTTGTTTTGTACATGGATATATTCCCAGTTTGTAGTACAGTGCTTGTTACACAGTAGGACTTGCCAATAAATATTGAACGAATGGATGTTCATGAGCTCCAGATTTGAACAAGTGGAGTTTGAGATGCTTCCAGTCTCTAGATGAAAATGTCTATTGGAAATGCAAGTGTGTTGGGAAAATGGGTAAATAGGTGGCTGAGACCATCTGAGTGCTCATGATCAGGGTCAACTTAATGGGCAAGTGACCTGAGTGAAGTCAAACATGACCATGTGCTCATAAAAGCCTCCATGCTTGGTTCTGTTTAGTGCTAATCTTGAAATTCACTTTATAAATGAAGTCTGAATGGACAATGGAACATGCATGTAAGAAGAGATATTTGTAATATGTGTGTCTGATGTCCCTTGCTGCTCCCTTCATATGCAGCATTCATTATGCCCATGAACACAGAACTCTGTTGGGCCTACAATGTACGGGGGCTCAGCAAGACTCGAAGTTGAGTACGAGGTAAGTATGTTATGTCTTTGAGAGTATAAGCTGGGGCACTGACAGCTTTGAGAAGCCACCACAACTTGTGTGCAACAGAGAAAGAAGGAAATAACACTCTAAGGGAAAAACAGTTCCTTATTCTTTCAGTCCTTCCTTCTTCATCTGTAAGCCAAAGGTAGAGGGGTTGGGAGTATGTACATACATCAAGTGAAAAAAAACTACTGAGCTACTTTCATGCAGCATTTCCTGTTCTGCAAAAAACTAAATACATATGAATATACACTCTATGAAATAAAAATTGTATAATTTATGTAGTTGCATATATAAATTAAATGCTCTTATATTTGCATTTAGAACTGGCATTGCTCTATACAAAGATGAATGATAAAATTCATGCTAATGATTTTAAATTCTTCTTTACTTAGAATGAAATCAAATTGAAAGACTAGGGAAGAAATAAAAAAGCTTTATAGTATCTTTAATGGCACTTTCTTCTTGCTTTTTGAGGAAAGGACTCTACATTTTTATTTTGCACTGGGATCTACAAATCACCTGGCCCATCCTGCCTGTGACTGCTACAAAGGAAGCCAATTCAAGTCAAACACATGTCCAACCTGAGAGGTAAAGTGTCATCATTTGAACTGGAGGACAGCTGAGTGTGTGTGTGTGTGTGTGTAGTATGTGTGTGTCTGCGTTGTTTGCATCTGGCCATCTCTGTGGGCCTGGGGAGAGGCTGGCTGGGATTGGAGTTCAGATGTGTATTACTGCCACCTTGTGTTCAATATGGTACACAGCACATAGCTCCTGGAAGGTGACTAAGGCATTGGGTCATGGCTGCTGCTGCTTTCAGAAGTCCTAAGACTCCTCACTCATACTCCATGGCCAAACTGGCAAAGCAATAGGATTACTGTTCTACTATTGGTGTTTAGTGAAGGTAGATGTGTAAGGAGAACAAAGATTTCACCTATTATTCGTTTTAGAGCCAGGGCTGAAAAGGTGCGTGTGTGTCTGTGCCTGCCTCTTTCCCCTAAGTGTTCTTTTCCTTCACTCTCACCTTCCATTTCTCTGTAGTTCCATTACAGCTGTTCAACACACAAACTACCCAAATCCCAAGAAGTCTGGTTCTTTTGAGTCAAACGATATCCAGCTCTTCTGTGGAAGGACTGGACATCATGGCCCCACCAGGAGAACAGGGGCTGCTGGCGAATCAGCATGGCCCAGACAAATCCTCTTGAGATAACTGAATATTCTTTCTGTGTGACTCCTATGGCTGTACCAAGTTAGCCCTGTTATTTACCCTCTACAAAATAACAAAAAAGAAAAATAATTAATGAATCCTCCTAAAAACAGAGAGGTTAAGGAAATGATCGATTCTTACTAGGTATAGATTAGAGGCCAAAGAGACAAAAACTTACTTGATGGTAGACACAGACAAGCCAGAGAAATAAAGACAAAAGGGAGAGCGGATGACTTGATACTAAATATGAATGAAGCAAGCATCCCTAAACTCTTCATTTCTTGCTGCTTTGTCTGGGGTTGTGACCATACTCATCCCTAAGGACAAGCACAGGACATTGATAGGGACCAGGCCATGACACCTTTCTTCATACCCTTTGAAAAACACATTTTTCAAATATTTTGGGTAGAATACTACAGATGTAAGAAACATAAAGAGAAGTTTATTATTTTAAATCAGCGTCAATATTTTTGTGATTCTAAAGTAACACATGTTCATTACAGGGAAAATGAAAAATCTAAAGAACAAAAATAACTGGTAATCTAGTCACTCACTTATCTTAGCATTTGGGTGTATTTTCTCCTACTCTTTTTTCTGTCTATCTATCATCTATCTCTATACCTGTATATATGTATATACATTTAAATTTGAAAATCATTAGTATTTCTTAATTTAGAATTATAACATATTATTTCTTAATTCACTTAACTCTCCCCCTAATGTTGGACTTATAAAATATTTCTTATTTTTTCGTTACAAATAATACTATGATAACTCACTCACTCACTGCCATCGAGTTGGTTCCAACTCATAGATACCCCCATTGGATTCCAGAGCTGTAAATCTTTATGGAAGTAGATTGCCCCATCTTCCTTCCATAGAGCAGCTGGTGGATTTGAACTACTGACCTTCTGGTTAGCAGCCAAATGCCTTATCCACTGCACCTACCACCAGAGCTCCTTTAATCCTATGATGTGTCCTTTTATATAAATTTGAGAGTTTTTCAGTATTTCCTTGGAATACATTCCTAAAATTGACATAACTGTGTCAATAAGTATAAACTTTGAAATGAATCTTGACAAATTGCTATACAGATAACTTATTTCAATTTATATTTCTATCAGGATATGAAATTACCCATTTCCCCACACCCATGACAACACTGCATTTTTTTTAACCTTTGTTATTTTCTAGTTTAAATTGATTTCATCATTTCATTTGCATTCTCTTGAAAACTAGTGATGCTGAATACATTTACTGCTATTAGACATTCTAAGAATAGTCTACTAGGATTTAAGTGATTTTTTTAAAATACTCATCTATATTTTCTTGTTTCTTTTTTAAAATCTTCATTAGCATTTAACTCTTTAATATATCTGAAATTTATCATGATATATGGAAAGAGGTGAAGATATCATTTAAAAATATTTTCTTCCCCAAATCTTTAGTACTACCTGTCCGATGATTTTTATATAACTGAATTCTAATTATACCAGGTTCCTTTCTGGCCTATCTGTTCTAGTTCTTTTATCTATCCGTTGATATTGGTACCAGTACCACACTAATTTAGTCATTATGGCTTTACTATTTATGGTATTATAATATCTGGGTACATCGAGAGTTACCCATTCTTCTTCTCAAAAATGTCATAGCTTTCTACTGCATCTCACTCCACTTATTCTCTCATTTATACTTAAGAAACTCTTACTGGGAGTATTGACTGAAATTGTACAAAATCCGTACATTAATTTAGGAAGAGTTGACATATTTTATAATTATAATCTAGGATCAAGGCATCACCATCTTTCACGCCCCCTCCTGCCTTTTAATTTCATTTAATGCATTAATTTATTAATGCGTTCTGTAAACATCTCATTGAGTGTCCTAAATGTGCCATGTGCTGGAGACACAAACATAAATGAGTCTCACAAAGCACTCAAAATCGAAAGTGTAGGGTGAACTCACAAAGTAGTCTTGACTCACAGTCAAGATAAGTGTAGGGACTATGAGAGTACAGAGAAGAAAGAGGATCTTACCTGAAGATTCTTGAGCGGGGCCTTGAGTTCCTTATGCTGGAGAAAGGAAAACGGGGGTGTGGGGGGGTGTGGGGGTGGATATGGAAGCAACATGTGCAGAGTTATGGCAGTGAAAACCAGGATAGCAAATTAAGGTAAAAATGCAGTTCCAAATTAGGAAAACTTAAGGGACAGATAGGCAGGGAGGACACTAGAAAGGTCAGCTCACGAGGTCAGTCATAAGGAACTCTATCAATCAGCTATCGAATGTGATTGTTCTTTCCTCCACTTGGTAGTGGAGAGTCACTGAAGGTTTAAGGAGGGAGGAAAAAGACGAAGTGGTTAGATTTTTAAAAGTTCATTAACAGCTGAGTAGAAGAGGATGGTGGAGAAAAGCAAAACTGTAGTTGGAGAGTCATTTAGAAACTAACGTTGCAACTGAGGCAAAAACCGATGCATATCTAAAGTAAAATGGCCACTTTCCAATCAGCTGCATCTGGATTCAAAACCCAATTTATCTTTTTATTACCTGTATGGTGTTGTTTCTGAATCTTCGTGTGTCTCAATTTCTTTACTTATAAAATGGAAATAATTTTAAGGACCTTGCAAGGAGAAGTTTACAAGAGCTTCAGGAGAGATGAGAAAGAGGAGTTAGCACCAATTCCTAGATTTCTGACCAGAAGTGCCTTAAACTGAGTGGAGGATATAGCAGAAGGAGCAGGTTGAGAGAGACCGCGAGGAACGAAGAGGAAGAGAAGTTGGAGATGATGAACTGAGGAGTAACGGAGAGAGACCGTAAGAGAGGGAGGCGGGTAGGGACGCAGGTAGTTTAAGAGGGTGTCTAAAACGAACGTAGAAAAAGGAAAAAGCGGTAAACTCAACTTGACCCTCAAACTTATTCTCGACTTTTAAGTTCCGTTAAATACTTTACAACAACAACATTACAAATACCGCGAGAACTCAAATCCCACACTTAACAGCTCTTCTCTATAGAATTAAAGACCTGTCCCCGAAAGTCGGAGTGTGGAGCCGGAAGCCCGTAGAAAGCGCCCAGTCCCTCACCCCGCTAGGCCCTTGAAACGCAGGCTCCGCCCCTCAAGTGCGTCTGTTTTCGACGGTGTCTATAAAGTTGCAGCATTTTGAAATTTACGGCGGACAAGATGGCGGCCTCCATGCTGGGCTCGCTGCTACGCACCGTCTGGCAGGTTAGGTCCGCGCCTCTATCCACACCCCTGCCTCCCACCCTTGAATTTCACGAGGAATCTTCCCTCCCCAACTTTCTCCCCCCTCCGGCTTGGTTCTGGGGAGGTCTGTGTTGCACATACAAATTTGGTATTAGTAAGCATGTAACTAACTGGCATTGAAAGCTACAAAACTGGCCACAGTTTACAAAGGAATGAATGAAGGGAAAGGGAAAGAAAGAAAGAAAAAAAAAAAGGCGGGGGTGGGAGTGCAAAGAATGAGGCCCTAGGGACTCCGAGGTTAAAAAGTGGGAGATGAGACCGACCGAGCAAAGGAGACTGAAAAGGAGCTGTCAGCGAGGGAGGAGGAAAACAGCGTGGTGGCCTGGAAGTACATGAAGACAGACTTTCAAGGAGCAGAGAGTGATCAACTCACTGCTTAAATTTGACAGGCCATTTAAAAGGAGGGCTGAGAATTCGCTTTGGATTTAACAATGTGAGGTTGTTGGGCATTTTTAGAGAGGTGGGGAGAGAATTGGAGACTGCGTGTATAGACAGTTTTGGAAGGAGTTTTGCTAAGAGAGCAGAAAAGTGGCTCTGGTAGCAGGAGGGGGAAGTGGGTTAAGTGTGTATGTTTTTAAGAATGGCAGAAGTAACAGCGTTTTTGTATATTAAAGGGAATGATCTTAGAGTGGGAAAAATTGGTGCAGGAGAGCAAAGAATTACTGGAGCTGTACCTTGTGTAGGCAAGAGGTGGTAGGGTTGTGTACATGAAGCTGAGTATTAGGAAGATGGATTATAGCTTCACTTTAGTATCAACAGCAATGCTAATAGAAATAGAATGCAAGCCACATATATAGTTTGAAATTTTCTAGTAAGTTGCATTAAAACATGGAAAGAAACAAGTGAAATTAATTTTCATTATTTAACCCAGTATATTCAAAATATTATTTTAACATATGTAATCAGTGTGAAAATGACTGGAATATTTTATATGTCTTAGAGACAGTTTCTGGTAGCGTTGTGCCTAAGGCACTTGACTGCTAACCAGAAGGCTGGCAGTTCAAACCCACCAGCCACTCCTCAGAAGGAAGAGGGGGCAATCTACTTCTGTAGTGATACTGCCTCGGAAACCCAAGGAGGGGTCGCTATGAGATGGGTCTGACTGGAAGGCACATAACAACAACAGAGACAGTGGAGGGAGCTCTGGTGGTGTAGTGCCTAAGGCAATGACTGCTAACCAGAAGGTTGACGGTTCAAACCCACCAGCCACTCCTCAGAAGGAATATTGGGCAATCCACTTCCATAGAGATATCGCCTCAGAAACCCAAGAAGAGGACTTGAGGGCACATAACAACAACAGAGACAGTGGAAAGATGGTAAGATCAGTGGACAGAAAGTCCTAGAGAGACCAAATACTGTTGTTATTGGTAGTTTAGAAGTAGCAGCCTTCTAAAAGATAAGAAGTGATAAAGAATGAGATACACAAAAGTAAGAAAATAGAGGGGTTAAAGTTACTAGTTATAAAAGAGCTGGAATTAGATAGCTAAAAAAGAGCAGGGGACAAAAATCTTTGGAGGAAACAACTTCAAGCAATGGAGGGAAAAGGGTATAATTTCATGTATATTGAAATCAAGAATTAAGATAGGAAGAATATTGGAGAATGTGAGCTAGTATCTAAATCATTGAGAAATGAAGGGGAGTGGTAGGGGCTATAGAAGATGATTGCAACAATGAGGGGGACTGGGAGGTATAGTCCAATGGCATGATAGCCAAAGGTGGGGGCTTTCAGGAAGTAGGAGGGAGAATGGTCTGGAAGCTGCAATGAAGAGCAAGAAAGATACTTCCCCCACCTCAAGGCCTAGTCATGGGAGGAAAAAGAGCTATAGAAGAAGTTGTAGGGGCAGGGGTGGTGGTGGTAGTAGAGGAATTCAAGATTCAGCTAGAGCAAAAAGGTATTAGAAGAAGTTGAGGATATAGTAGATTTTAATGATGGTTGACCAGTGAAAGAGTTTTAGGAGGTGAAAAGATGGGGAGATGGGGACACGATAGGATGTGTGCAAAGCAGAACAGAATACAATCTTAATATCTAAAGGACTGCTATACATTGATAAGAAAACACTAACACTGCAGTAGTAAAATGGGCAAAGGACATAAAACATTCACAGAAGACGTAATAGCTAATACATGGCTAATTTTTAATATTATACAGAAAAGAATGAAAGATTCTATTTTAAAATATAAATAGAAACCTTTTACGGGACAGTAGAAGCAAGCTGATTAGGAATAGTTTGAAAAGAGAATTCAAGGAAAAATGTTTAATGTTATTTTTAAAGTTTCCTTAACTTTCAATTTCATAGGCAAAAGTAAACCTTGCATCATTGCCCCTCAGCATGAATTGTTTCTTTTGGCCAGAATCATTTTCTCATGGTCATATGAATGTATCTGGGGCATTTCCATGTTTGTTTTAAACAAAGTTCACCTTCTCTCTCCTGCCCTACTCCCCAACTGTATCAAAATTCTATCAGTCCTTCAAAGCCTTGCTTACGCCCCCCTTTTTATGGACTTATTTCCAGCCATATAGGGCTTTCCCTACAGTGACTGCTCCCCTCAACCCCCAAGTTGTATTAATTCAGCTCAGTGCTGTGTCAAAGCTATATTAAAATTCTCCCTTATTTCCAAAAGATGATTATAAAATCATTCTGTTTCCCCATGGGACTTTTGCTCAGTAATAAGAACATGGAAGGCATTCAGTAAATCTTTTCTTAATAGATTTTTTTTTAATGTTGGCTTTTCAGTATAGTATTCTCATTTTCAGTTTTATTTTCTGCTGTACATATATTTCTTCTATAAACAACTGTTACAGGAAGCCATGATTCTTTTGTGTTGCTGCAGTTTACTTAACATGTAGTGTTTGTTCTGGTTGAGAGAGAAGAAAGTTTCTAGTGGTCTGTACTCCCTATGCCTGAACTGTCAAAACTGTAAACTGTGATCACTCAGATAAAATGTGTGATAACAAAGGACCTGCTATCTTATTACTAAACAACTAGGGCGAGGAAATATTAGGTAAATGATAATTTCAAGTACCCTTTGACCCAGCAATTTGGCTTCCAAGAATTTACCCTGTACATATATATACGATGTGTATATGAAGCTATTCATTGCAGCCTTGTTTGTAGTGGTAAACTGTGAGATATGGCCTACTTGGCCACCAATAAGTAACAGGTTAAATGAATTAAGATGCTTCCATACAGTGGAATGCTTCCATGCAGCCTTTAAAAATGATGAAGGCCTTTACATACAAATAAAGGAAGATCTCTGAGAAATATGGTTAAGTGAGAAGGGACGTATGCATGTATAGACAAAAATCTCTGCAAGGTTACACAAGAAATTAATAATAGTGGTAATAAGGTAGGAGAGAGTTTTTACTGTAAGGTTTTTTCATACTGTTTTTATTTTGAACCATGTGATTATTAGCCTTAGACAAGGAGACTCACATAAAAAAAAATATGTGAAAATTTTTTACCTTCCAACACATTCTGTATTGGTACTATATTAATTATTACCATTTTGGCTTAATGTACATCCATTAAAGTTATTTTTTCAGAATTAAGTTTATTATTTTAAATTATTATTAAAGTGATCCAAAACAACTTAAAAAATTGTTGTTGTTGTTAAGTGCCGTCGAGTCGTTTCCAACTCATAGCGACCCCATGCACAGCAGAATGAAACACTGCCCGATCCTGCGCCAGCCCCACAATCCCTGCTATACTTGAGCCCATC